CTGGTGTCACTGTACCAGTGTGACGATGATCAGGTACAGATGTTGCTGGCTGCACTGGTGTCACTGTACCAGTGTGATGATCATCAGGTACAGATGTTGCTGGCTGCACTGGTGTCACTGTACCAGTGTGATGATGATCAGGTACAGATGTTGCTGGCTGCACTGGTGTCCCTGTACCAGTGTGTGATGATGATCAGGTACAGATGTTGCTGGCTGCACTGGTGACACTGTACCAATGTGATGATGATCAGGTACAGATGTTGCTGGCTGCACTGGTGACCCTGTACCAATGTGATGATGATCGGGTACAGATGTTGCTGGCTGCACTGGTGACACTGTACCAGTGTGATGATGATCAGGTACAGATGTTGCTGGCTGCACTGGTGACACTGTACCAATGTGATGATGATCAGGTACAGATGTTGCTTTAACTATAAAATCACAGTAACTGACAGATCGGTTGTCCTTCCTCTCACACACGCTCTGAGGGGAAGAAAAGCTGGTGACTGCAACATGCAGCTTTTGTTTAGCTTTATGATCACTGTGATTGGCCACAGCAATCACACAGTACAGGGCTAAGTTCATTGGCCCTGCACCCCAATTTCCAAGAGACACAGTGATGATAGGTTGCACCCTTGCAGACACACATTAATGGTAGCACGTACAGGTACATCCTTCCAAATCGACAAAGCTCCCGTCCGGACATTTATATGTAATGCCTGGGAGGGAGGTCATTTAAAAAAAGTAATATGCTATTTACCATTTTTTTTTTAATACAATTGTTACATAATATGATTTTACATATAGACAGTACATACTGGCATTGCTCTGAGGTCATTATGCTGCCAACAGGTTTTAGATTCTCATCAAAACTGTTTAATCCTCCATTACAGAGGGATCTATGGATAGCTTTACTGGGTTGCCCTCAAAAATGACAGTTCATAGGAAATATGTGTGTGTTTTTTCCATCAGGTAAAGTTATATCAATATTCCTTATTTTGCACTTGTAGTGAGCTTAGATCAGCTCTCTCTAGATCCATATTACAGCTTTGCTGTGAAACAGGCCTGAATTGAAGGACATGTAAGATCACACAGATTGCAAATTGACACAGGCAGGGTGTATATACCACAAGGCAAACAAGGCATTTGCCTAGGGCAGCACTTTTTAGGGGGGCAGCACTGCCCCCTGGAAGAAGGGGCATATGTGACATGGGGACCAGCTGGGATCCAAGAGAGGCTGTGATCTGCTTGATGGTGTATGCAGAGCCTGATTGTCATTCCTGGGGATGAGCTGTGAAGGTGAGTGTCTTTCTCTCTTTCGCAGGGGGGGGGGGGGGTGTTAGTGGAAGGCTCTCTCAGGTTGGGGGAAGATGGGGCAGGGGTGTTGTTGGTCACTGTCAGGCTCTCTCTGCGCGGGGGGGGGGGGGGGCTGGTGTTGGTCGGTGTCAGGCTCTCTCTGTTGAGAGGGGGGGGGGGGCCTAGGGCAGCACAAAACCACGAGACAGGGGGGGGGGGGATACCCCTAACCTCTCTCTTAGAAGAGATTTAGATATAGTCAGCTATACACAGGTTGGCAACAGCCATGCAGGCAGTGATGAGCTTCCTTACCAGAAAGCCAATCATGCTTTGCAAATTGAGTGTTACAAATACATCCTGTATGAAATTTTTTTTTGTACAATAAGAATGTGATAGAGAATAATTAAATTAAATAAAAGTAATTTTTTTAAATGTGAGGATAGAGGGCAGTAGCATTCAAGGAGGCACAACTCAAGGGGGAAAGGAAAAGAAACCATAAATTGAATAAATTGAATAAAAATAAATGGAATATAACAAATAAAATAATAAAATGTCTAGAACGTGCAGAGCGGTAATGAAGGTGACTTTGTTTCATATTTTTGTGGTTCAAAAACAAAAACAGAATGGATTAACCTTATTTACATTGAACCTTATGGGAAAATTTGATTCAGTTGGCAACCAAATTAATTTCCCGACCATGTTCATAGGGGTCAGAGCGAATTAACCTGATTTACATTGAACCCTATGGGAAAATTTACCTAGGTTCACGACCAGAGAGGTATTACTGTACTGTATATGTAAAGTTCCTCTTGACAAAGTCACCACATCAACGACACGCATCAGGGCGGAGCGATAGTCCGAGGCAGAAAAAGGATGCTGCAGACACAGCAGCTTGCAGAGACATGTGGAGCAGCTGATGGAAGCCCGCTGGTGATGCTGGGAGTGTGCGTTGATGTTGTATTCGGTTTCCCTGGGAGCCTGGATTTGTTCAGTTACTTTATTTCTTTCACATGTGAATATAATAAACGTTTTAATAAAAAACAGTTCTATGATTTTACACTATGTGAACCTTTCTTTTCTGGCAGGCTTGCTTCCATCGGAATAACTGTTTGAGGATAAGGAGAGGAGATGGGAGAGTAAAGAGTGGGTGGGACAGAAAGGCTTAACCTCCCTGGCGGTATGATTATTTCAGATTTTTGGTGCTGAAAGCGGTATCATTATTCTGCATGGAAATATGTTGTTTTTTTTATTGTAGGCCTGTAATATTTAGGAATAACTCACTGAAATCTGTCCGAACAAGAGTGTAGTAAACATCCCGGGTATGATAAAATTTGAAACACAAAATCATAAATTATAATTTAATAAATAATCATAAAAAAATAATAATATAATAATATTACATTTAATTCAATAATATAATCAAACCAAAAACACTGAAATTTGAAATATAGCGCCAAGTTCGCACATCGCTGAGCAAAGTCGCAAAATCGTTTTCAGTGTCTGATGACGAATTTCTCCACTAATCATTATCACTCAATTCTGCAAGTGGTTCTGATTTACTATCGCTGTTCTCTAGCCGGTCTAAAACCGCTTTTGACCTAAAGGGACACTTTTTGGACGCCATGGACTTTTCTAAGTTTCCAGGCAGAAAGAACATTCAAAATGCAGACAGAGGACAGGACAAAGCACTCGGGACAAAATGTATGTGAAATGGGTTGAAACAGCAATGTTTTAGTATGTAAAATCGTTTTGAAAACAAATGACATTTTTTAAAAATTTTCAAATTTCCCGCCGCCGCGGCGCCCGTACGTCCCGACGTCACAGGGACCGGAACACAGGAGCCGGATGCCGGCATCAGCCGGAGGAGATGGCCGGGGACGCTGCAGGGGACACATTGCTGGAGTGAAGGACAAGGTAAGTGCTGCAGGGACTCCCTATACAGCGCTGCATGGTAAGCCCGAGTGTAGCTCGGGGTTACCGCTTTTGGTACAGACATTTTACCCCGAGCTACACTCGGGGAATACCGTTAGGGAGGTTAAGCCACACGATATTATTGGATGAAAAATACTGCTTTTGGAGCGATCGTCCGATAATCTGATCGTTAATACGCACAGCTTTTGAGAGCAGATTATCTGAAGGGACAGACACAAAAATTTATTTCCATAAAATAACGGAACAAACGATTTTTGTTTAATCAGTAAAGTATTCGTCCATAAAAAATCAAGTGACTAAGACCGTGTATGCCCAGAAACAAAAGAATACAATACAATTTGTTACATACGTTACAATACACTTCCGAAGTTGTATTCTGTCTTACGAGAATTTATGTAACTTTAGTAACCATTTTCGATATGAGACTAGCATGTAAAAAAAACGGCGACCATTCGTCCAATATTCTCAATGCTTTAAGAGCATAGGCCTTGCTTTAATAAAAAGTTGGGCTAGAGCAGGGGTCTCCAAACTTTTTAAACAAAGGGCCAGTTTTACTGTCCTTAAGACTTTAGAGGGGCCGCACTGTGACCATCGGGAGTAGAAAATGTCCCAGCATCAGTTGTAGTAAACAATGCCCCATCCTTGGTGTCATTGGGAGGAATTGTGCCCCATCATTGATGTAATTGGGCCCCATTGTTGGTGTCATTGATAGGAATAGTGACCCATCATTAGTGTCATTGTTAGGAATAGTGTCCTATCATTGGTGATTGGGAGGAATAGTGCCCCATCATCGGTGTCATTGGTAGGAATAGTGTCCTATCATTGGTGTGATTGGGAGGAATAGTGCCCCATCATTGGTGTCATTGGTAGGAATAGTGACCCATCATTGGTATCATTGGTAGGAATAGTGTTCCATCATTGGTGTGATTGGGGGGAATAGGACCCCATTGTTGATGTAAATGGGAGGAATTGTGCCCCATCATTGCTGTAATTGGGAGGAATTGTGCCCCATCACCGGTGTAATTGGGAGGAACTGTGCCCCATCACTTGCTTCATTGGGAGGTATTGTGCCCCATCATTGGTGTTATTGGGCCCCATTGTTGGTGTCATTGGGAGGTTGGTGTCATTGGGAGGAACTGTGCCTCATCATTGGTATCATTGGAGGAATTGTGCCCCATCACTGGTGTCATTGGGCCCCATTGTTGGTGTCATTGGGAGGAACTGTGCCCCATCATTGGTGTCATTGGCAGGAACTGTGCCCCATCATTTGTGTCATTGGGAGGAACTGTGCCCCATTATTGGTGTTGGTAAATGAAATAGTGCCCCAAGGGCTGGATAAAAGCAAGCAAGGGGCTGCAGTTTGGAGACCACTGGGCTAGAGGATCCAGTGAGAGTGGAATGACTTTCTTTGAGTGAACTGGGGTACTAGTGGATTTTTCTTACTACTTTGGAGGCACATGTAATGGAACCTTTTTTATAAACTGTGTAAATGGACTTTCACACAAGCATGCAGCAGAACTGTCATCTGCTTTGGACTATGGAATTGTTACATGGAAACACTTCCTATTCATTTTATTTGTTTTTATATTGTGTTTCATATTGAGGTAACCCATTAAGTGCTGGGCTTATGTTTGGTGACATTTTTCTTCAAATATAATTTGTTTTTATATATGTAAAGTGCTGCGTAAATTTTCAGCACTAAATAAATACCTTTGATATAAAAACAAAAATATACCAAATATTTGCTGCATATTGTGAAATGGGTTCCTTACCACAGGTTGCTGGGGTGTGGTTTGAGCGCACCATCATTATATTCAAGTTGTGTTTTCCTACTTTCATATTTTGCAGCGCATTCTGTACATCATATGTCATGTGTTTCTCTAAGCCGGGGAGGGTCCATACTACTTGCTTACTATCCAGATCCACATGGTACAGCTCATTGCCATTGTAATCAAATACATATTCCCCTGTTGGCTTCTGAGTCTGGACAATGAGTGCAGCAAACTCAAAGTAATCCACTGAAAGACACAACAGAAATACATGAGATATGAAAAGTAAGGCTTTTGCCAACAAACTATACTGCCATGTTTATACCCATCATGAGTACCAGACCTACAAAAATCATCATGCCTATGAGTTGAAACAGACACCCTCCAATGACCATTATTAGGAATTAAGTGATCCACCACATTGGATTTTTGTGCTCTCCAAAACTCCCCATGAGATTAGGATGGTTCCAGAGTTGCCTGGCTGCTCGTCTCCTTCCTTCTTCCCTAGGCATGTCACACACCTATACAGGTGCATCTCAATATATTAGAATATCATCAAAAAATTAATTTATTTCAGTAATTTAATTAAAATATATTATATAGATTCATTACACACAGAGTGAAATATTTCAAGCATTTCTTTCTTTTATTTTGATGATTATGGCTTACAGTTAGTGAAAACCCAAAATTCAGTATCTCAGAAAAATAGAATATTGTGAAAATGTTCAATATTGTAGACTCATGATAGGTGTCACACTCTAACCAGCTGATTAATTCAAACACCTGTAAAGGTTTCCTGAGCCTAGAAATGGCCTCTCAGTCTGGTTCAGTAGGTTACACAATCATGGGGAAGACTGCTGACCAGGGGCGGACTGACCATTTGTAAACTCGGGCACTGCCCGAGGGCCCGGGGTCAGTAGGGGCTTCATGAGATGCCCCTGGTACCTTTTTCATAGGCTTTTTTGAGTTTGGGCAAGGACACAGGGGCCCCATGATCCCCTATTGCCCGGGGGCCCCATGAGTTGTCAGTCCGACCCTGCTGCTGACTTGACAGTTGTCCGGAAGACAGTCATTGACACCCTCCACAAGGAGGGTAAGTCACAAAAGGTCATAGCTAAAGAAGCTGGCTGTTCACAGAGCGCTGTATCCAAACATATTAATGAAAAGTTGAGTGGAAGGAAAAAGTGTAGTCGAAAAAGGTGCACAAGCAACAGGGATAACCGCAGCCTTGAGAGGATAGTTAAGCAAAGGTCATTCAATAATTTGGGGGAGATTTACAAGGAGTGGACTACAGCTGGTGTCAGTGCTTCAAGAGCCATCACACACATATGTATCCAGGACATGCGCTACAACTGTCGCATTCCTTGTGTCAAGCCACTTCTGAACCAGAGACAATGTCAGAAGCATCTTACCTGGGCTAAGGAGGAAAAGGACTGGACTGGTGCTCATTGGTCCAAAGTCCTCTTTTCGGATGAAAGTAAATTTTGCATTTCATTTGGAAATCAAGGTCCCAAAGTCTGGAGGAAGAGAAGAGAGGCACAGAATCCAAGCTGCATGAAGTCTAGTGTGAAGTTTCCACAGTCAGTGGTGATTGGGGAGCCATGTCATCTGCTGGTGTTGGTCCACTGTGTTTTACCAAATCCAAAGTCCTCTACCAGGAAATTCTGGAGGACTTCATGGTTCCCTCTGCTGACCAGCTTTATGGAGATGCTGATTTCATTTTCCAGCAGGACTTGGCACCAGCCCTCACTGCCAAATGTACCAATACCTGGTTTAAGGATCATGGTATCACTGTGCTTAACTGGCCAGCAAACTCGCCTGACCTAAACCCCATAGAGCAGGGGTGTCAAACTGGCGGCGCTCCAGCTGTTGCCAAACTACAAGTCCCATCATGCCTTTGCCTTTGGGAGTCATGCATGTAATTGTCAATCTTACAATGCCTCATGGGACTTGTAGTTTGGCAACAGCTGGAGGGCCACCAGTTTGACACCCGTGCCATAGAGAATATGTGGGGTATTGTGAAGAGGAAGGTGAGAGACACCAGACCCAACAATGTAGATGAGCTGAAGGCCACTATCAAAGCAACCTGGGCTTCCATAACACCTCAGCTGTGCCATGTCATGCCACATTGATGCAGTAATTCACACAAAGGAGCCCCAACCAAGTACTGAGTGCATACTATACTGTACATGGACAGACGTTTCAGTAAGCCAACATTTCTGTATTAAAAATCCTTTTTTATTGGTCTTATGTAATATTCAAATTTTTTTAAGTTACTGAATTTTGGGTTTTCATTAGCTGTAAGCCATAGTCATCAAAATTAAAAGAAGGAAATGCTTGAAATATATCACTCTGTGTGTAATTAATCTATATAATATATGAGTTTCACTTATTGAAATGAATTACTGAAATAAATTAACTTTTTGATGATATTCTAATTTATCGAAATGCACCTGTATATGATCTCAACACCCAACCTGCAAGACTCACTGATATTGTCTAAATATAAGAGGAATGTATTCTTACCTTCATCTTGGTGTGCGTTGTGAATTTATTTGAGATTTGTGCAGTAACCCAATATGAACCTTCCTTGCACTGACCAACTCCACCCCAGGCAGACTGCTACCAGAATGTATATACAGAGCCATCTTATCCAATTTTCCCCACACTGGCAGGGGCACGGCTGGCACCTCCTAGCTATCTTTAATACACCCACTAACTACTCTGGGGACCTCTTGCAGCTACCTAGGCACTTATTGTATACTGTCTACTCTACACTACAGGGTTCCAAGCCCTTGAGCTGGCCATACATTATACAACTTTCTTGAGGATTTTGCTTTAGATTTACCAAAAACCATATAATATGAGGTCAAAGCTATACAGCATTTTCAGTTGTATCCAAGTAGACAGGCCCTTGCACTATATAGTTGTAGGTAAATCTAAAGTAAATTGGGCAGAAAATTGGACAGGAAATTGTATAGTGTATGGCCAGCCTAAGTATGGCCACTTTATACTGGTCAATTTGGGGAATGACACTAAGCACTCCAACACCTGTGCCCTTATCCTACAATATTTTGTTGAATCGGTTTTTAGTAAAAGTTTTATAGGGTTCCAACCAAAACCAACAATTTTTTCTCAATGAAAAAGAAAACCTTAACCTCCCAACAATTTCACAATTGTCACTTCGCTAGGTACAGTATATGTAATGGTTTACAACCACTTTAATCAATTTCACTATGAAGACATAAATGTTTTTTGCTTGTGCCTGTTAAACAATAAATTTTATCAGAATAATAAAGACATATTTCAAAGTACACACATATGTCTTCTTTCTATTATTTAAGTGTTCAACAACTGATACTTGTAAAGAGTAAATATGCGAGCGCTATCCAAAAGAAAAATAGCTCTGAAACACCTAAAAAGGTAACCAAACAGAACCTTCCAATGTAAATCTCAATATAAAGGTGCAGCGCTAAACACTAAATATACAGCGTAAATCTCATCAATATATTAAAAGAAAATGAGAAGATGCAGTCTCTTTAAAATTGTGCAACATGAGAAAGTCAATAACATGTGCTCAGTACATAGGTATAGATTTCCAGCAATATCAATCGTTCGCGGGAATAAACCAATATAAAATGTACAAATAAATAAATAAATAAAATTTGTGCATAAATGATGTCACCAATAGTTGAATAAAGTGCAAAAAAGTCCCAGATGTATTGCCCACGTGAGGATCCTGTATGATCCCGATAAGCATGCGTGGAGGGTTACTTCCAGTGGCAGGTGTTCAATATGAATGAAATGCGCAGTCACCAGAAGTGCGTGTATACACGCATTTGAGATATAACCTATCTCAATAGGTATAATTCAGGTCATTCACCTCCCAGATCAGGTCAGGCCAGGTCAGGATACTCCCAGTCACATCTGCATGCAGCACTCAGGGATCCTTGATGCGTATCACCTTAGGGGCTCACCCATAGTGCGGTCTCTGCAAATGCCCCTCACAAAATAGGGACCAATAAAGGAGACCACATAGTGTGATACCGTAGGGAACTTTATTCCATCAAATGAGAAGTGCAAATGACAAAAAAGGAAACAAAACACTGACCATGTAATAGGGATTTCAAGATGGCTACCAGCGGTGGCTAGACGTCCAGTTGCTGTAGCCCCCTTGACGCGTTTCTTGCGATGCACGTAGTCATAGGGTCTAGACCTCGCCTGACCTGATCTGGGAGATGGATAACCTGAATTATACCTATTGAGATAGGTTATATCTCAAATGCATGTATACACGCTCTTCTGGTGAGTGCGCATGTCATTTATATTGAACACCTGCCACTGGAAGTAACCCTCCACGCACGCTTATCGGGATCATACAGGATCCTCACGTGGGCAATACATCTGGGACTTTTTTGCACTTTATTCAACTATTGGTGACATCATTTATGCACAAATTTTACTTATTTATTTATTTGTACATTTTATATTGGTTTATTCCCGCAAACGATTTGATATTGCTGGAAATCTATACCTATGTACTGAGCACATGTTATTGACTTTTCATGTTGCAAAATTTTAAAGAGACTGCATCTTCTCATTTTCTTTTAATATATTGACGAGATTTACGCTGTATATTTAGTGTTTAGCGCTGCACCTTTATATTGAGAACAACTGATACTTCCCTTACTTTACTTTTGAGCAGAGTATCTCAACATTACATCACAGTAAGAACCATAGAAGTACTTCCTGAAGATGATCTATTGGTTGAAACGCGTCAAGGGCTTATGACGCAACTTCTGCTGATGTCAAGTCCGGTATTTGGAACGCACGCTGGAACGCGGTGGCCATCTTAATTCCCATTCATAATACACAAAGCTGAATACACCTAGTGCCAGGAAGGGCACTTTTTTGTGAGTGGCATTTCTATTGCTTGACCCCTTATTAAAGTTCTATACAGCTTTTATACTATGGGATGTCTGGTTTTGTTTTAATTTATGCTGAAAATATGAAAATACTGCCTGTGGAGGAGAGGAGTTTCCTAACATTGATGCAGTCCTAGTGGAAAGTTATTGGTTACTACCAGCAACCATGATTATAAGGGCGAAGGAATATCGGCCATCAGGACAGGATTGCATACTGGGATAGTCCCAAAAAGCGAGTGTGACTTACCTAGAGATAGGTGGTCATGAAATGACGGTGAGTTTACATCTATGGGGGGCA